CTCGATTTGTTACCTCAATTTGGTCTGCTTTTCTTCCTGTTCGGCTGGCCTACTTTAGATTTTATTGTGACCAATGTACAGTACTGTGCCTGGAAGTGGATTTCAAGAGATATCGTTCTGATCAAGTTTTCGTTTTTTTTTTGTGTCAATGTGAGCGGAATAAACGGGAAATCAGTTTTCCCAATTTTTGTGTGGAACTCATTTTTGGGAGATAAAATCTTGTTTCTATGTGAAAAGTAAGCAGGGAGTAAGTGGTAAGCAAGAGCAAGAGCAAGTTAACTAGAATTTTCCTCTTTGTAAGCCTTCCTGATTTTTTCTATCGCAAACATATACAGAAAAATATAAATAATTTTGTTTATTAAAAGTCTCAATATCTTGACCGTTGTATATCTAATCTTAGTCATACGACAGAAACAATTTAAAACCCAAATGGTATTTTTTGAGTCTAATATAAAAATTCAAACGCAAGAAAACTACAAATGGCTAAGAGGAGAAGATTATTTCAAAATTTTTTGTTTATGAGAACTTTTGAATTTTTTGAAGACACTCTAAGCTGATAAATAATAGAACATAAGCTTTGAGTGCATATGTGAAACATTGCATGGGAGCATTAAATAAATAAGGAAGTTAGAATTTGACTTTTTCGTTAGAGAAGTTGATTCTACGTAGGAAGTTGTCCTTACTACGGCAGGGGAGACACTCGATTCGAAATGAGATACCTACAGTTTATTGTGAATTAAAACGGAAGTTATTCGTCGATTTTTATGATCGATCTCATATTGTTTATAGGTTACTATAAAAATTAACCATTTTTACGCTTTGGATTTATATAATTAAAAATACAGGAAATCGATTGAAACTAACGTACAAAAGCTATATCCTAATCCATGTCCACTAAACATGAATGAGGTAAATGTATGTGTTACGTAACCTCTCGAACCAATTATTATTGTTATGATGCACAGCGTTATGACTTATAGAAAACAATTTTTTGGCCAAATATAGAGTCTGTGATGTATTATTTACATGACATTAGAGGAAAAAATATATAGGAGATATATCCAAATCTTAACCGATCTCAACACAGCTTAGCAAATGTATTTTAGGGTGTACATAATATCTTCTACCAAAAGTTCCTGTTATTGAGTGTAGAATACAGATTTGGAGGCCTTCGATATAGAATGGAATGAGATATATATGGGCACTATATCTAAATCTTAACCGATTTTTGAAGAAATCAGTGAAAATCGATTCAGATGTAGCTACAGCTCCTATAGATATGTTTCATCCACTTTGTAATAAGCACTTGACAACAATAATATTTGGTGCTAGATATCAGATACAGCCCAGAAATACCTCTGACAAATTTTATTGAGATCGGTTGAGATTTGGCATATAGCTTCCATGTATATCCAGATCTATTGTGCACCAAATGAATGACGATTTCAAATTTTGTTCCCCAATATGTGTAATATTCGTCCAAATAGAATCGATTTTGGCCAACAGAATGCATCCTAGAAGCGAATGTGTCAAATTTGTTGAAAATCGGTTTAAATATATCTATAGCTTCTATAGATATGTTTCATCTGATTTTGGGTTTAAGTCTTCCACTTTCGTAATATGACCTTCCACGGCCCAGAAATATCACTCTCAAATTGTATTAAGATCGATTCGGATTTAGATATAGCTCCCATATATATCTTTATCCGATTATCTCAAATTGGAAATACACATTTACCCACGAAAATTTTTTCAAATTTGGTATTTAAGACCCGCAATGGATAACAAACCTTGTAGTATAAAATTGTATATATATTAGTTTTGATATAGCATCCATATAACGGCCTCATGTACTTTATGGTTTTTTGAACTTAATGTTTTTTAATTGCTTTTTGAACGTAGTGAAGACAGTACATTTTCTGCATAAACATTCGTTGACAACATTCAATTTTTAAAATAAATGTTCAGTGTTCGATGCAATGTTATAATTTGAAATGACTGGATTCTATGTACTATAAAATCAATTTGTAGCATAAAATAATGAATCTCAAAAGTGTGGATCTTAGAATAGAGAAAAATTATCATTTGCAGACAAGCCATCTGAACGCATTTTCACCAATTTGAACAATCTTACTTAAATATTTTGTGGACATTAAACTTAAAAATGGCAGAAATATCCGCACAGGGATAAATCAACCCAGGAAGTGATTCATTGTATACTTTAAAATAAAATAGACAAAAATTGTAATACCAATTTAAAGGTTTTTTTTTTTTTTCAAAAAAAAAAAAAAATAAAATAAAATAAAATAAAATCCGTTAAGAATTTTGTTAAAATCTTAAAAATACCTAATGTAGTCATTATATTAGGGTCTATACCACGACGTGGACCTGCATAGGCAACTTTTGTCATAAACCATTAGAATATTCAAATGCCAAACTTGAATCGGCGAATTATGTAGCTAAAATCATCCAAATACCGAATATAGGGAGGCTATACGGGGGCTATACGAAAACGTGGACCTGCACAGACAATTTTTTGTCTTAGAATGTAGTATTCATCACGAACTTAAATATTAAATTTGAAACAATTCCCGTGAACAATGTCGCTAAACTCATCAAAATACCGAATATCGGGAGGTACCGTTATATGAGAGCTATACGAAGACGTGGACCTGCGCGGACAATTCTCTGTCATAGGCTGTAATATCCATTACGAACTTCAAATACCAAATTTGAAACAATTTACTTACATTATGATACCCTACACCACTTTGCATATTCAATAGAGCTTTTCTTAACAAATAAAATTATTTATGAGGAATTTGTGTGAATTAAATCATCCCAACTATGATTAATGTTATATTTTAAAGTCTAAAGGACTAGACTTGTGAGGCATTTGTGTCTTTTCAATTCAGGCTTGTATTACCCATTTGGTACACAATTAAATTGAAATCATATCTTTATCTGGGAGCTATATCAAATCTGAATCGATGTCGATGAAATTTGGCAAAAGGGTATTTCTGAGCTTTGATATTATTATTTGATATTTTTCCCTGAAAATCGTTGTTACGGAGTGCATATTACGGCTGTGGAGAACAAATATAATAAATCGGATGAACAATATATACGGGAGCTATGGCTATATCTGATCCGATTTTTACCAAATTCGACGTACTAGTTTCTAGACTCAATTTGGTCGTAAGTGACAAATTCCATTGCATTTGAGCTAATATTATACGTTTGGTGCACAGTAAAAGACAAATCGAACAATGATATATATGGGAGCTATATCCAAATTTGAACCGGTCTCGATAAAATTTAGTAAAGGTATTTCTGAGTTGTATTTGATATAATTCCCCGATAGTACACGCTTAGGGCACAATAAAATGCAAATCGGGCGAAGATATATATGAGAGCTATATCTAAATTTTGACCGATTATCTCCAATTTCAATGGGGTTTGTCCTTGGATCCAGCAAATGACTTGTGCAAAATTTCATCTTGATCGGGCCATAAATGCGACCTGCACTTTGTTTACAAGAATACATGGACGGACGGTCGAACGGACATGCATAAATCGACTCAGAACGTGATTCTATGCAGATCATCAAAAGGGACTATGGGCCTATCTCGATTACTTTTGCCTGTATGTTACAAACAAATGTACAAAGACATAATACCCTGACAACCTTGTGGTGTGGGGTATAATTAGAAGAACTTGCAGTCGGGCACAAAATTACAAGACACACACAATAACATACATCACAAATTATAATTGAAAGTTTTTCATAACTTACCTTGTACTATTGTATCCAAGGTCCTATTGTCTTATAAACTTAACATCTTAGTATACAATGCCATGTAATCTACAAAAAATAACAGACGAAATCGTTTTATCGGAATTTATATATGCAGTTTATAAAGACAAAATTAATTAACAATTTTATTTCAATTGAATAAAAATTAGTTTCGACCTTTTGTACTTATGTATTTTAATAAATATTATTAAACGTAGAGGTCTCTGATTTGATAATTCCTTATTTCAATCGTTGACATTTTCCAGAATCTTCTTGAATAATTTTATTTATTTAATGATAAAGTAAATCCTTTTAAGAAAAATAACAATTTTTTTTCCTTTTTTTTTCAAATATACAATGTTTAAGAGAAATCTTATTGACTTGATATCACATAAAAACGCATTGAATTTTGCCCGTTACCAATTTTCTTGGCCAGCTGCAAGAAAGTAGCTGGCACATTCGCATCCCATCTATTATATCAGACACTATTCTTTGATTATCCAATGGCTTAAGACTTCAGTTCGACTTTCAAAATTCAACTAAAGTCACAACACAAGTAGGCTTTGGTATGTAGCACGCATTGGCACACACACAAGTACGTGGACGTTGCCGATGCTGTTGCCATTAACCCAAAAACACAAAACAGGAATCAACGTTGCTGGAAACCACTTCAGAGTAAAGTTCATATGCGTTCAATTACTTATCCGCTGGCAAACGTGAGCGAGTGAGTCGGCAATATGCCGCTGAAAATTGGGGGCATGAGCCATTTGTCTGTGAAAATGTGGGACATTCGAATATATATGGTGACTTTTCCCTGTCTGCAAGATGTTGCAAGGATACGCAAACGTATACTTTCATTGCCACGTTTAGCGTGAGTGTTGGGAATAATGGGCGAACATTGTTTCTGTTCGCTTCAGATTTAAGTTTTACGTTCTGCCTTCAAACAAAAGTCAAGAACATATTTTGCAATTATGGCGAGGTGTTGATGGATTTTGACATAAATCACCTGTCAATTATAAAAATGGCAGCATCACCGCCACCTCGGAAAATCCATTTGTTATTAGCTATTACCGATGGTAGTAAATGTAATTCAATTATCCTTGCTGTGAGTTTTCAGTTATCTCAAGCAGGAGAAAACTTGACAAGAATAGCTAAATAGTTGAGGTAAGTCATGCAGAGGACTATAAAAACTCCAGGATGCAACAGGATTTCATAGCATTCCTTGTTCTGCATTCGAATCGACGACAACGAGAACACAATGTACCAAAAACGACAGACATTCCAAGCAATGGTATTCTTCATCTTTGCTATCTTTTGCATCTTTTGGATACCAGCAACATGGGCTAGGAGCATGGAGACTTCTAAAAACGAAATACATGACGGAGGCTTTGTGAAAAACGCCAATCAGCAACTGAATATGCCCGGCCCTTCCGGTTATTATGCTGCCAAACGCAATTTGCGGACATTGTTGATGGGCCCCAAAGACTATCAGGCGAAAACACATGGAAAGGTTGCTCCAAATATGGATCTGGTCGATTTGCTGTTGGAATACGAGGATGATGATCGCAACAAAAGATTCGATGACTACGGTCATATGAGGTTCGGCAAGCGCGGTGGCGAGGAACAATTTGACGACTATGGTCACATGCGGTTCGGACGAAGCGTCTAAGCGGATTTTCTACCACGACATACCAAACCAAATCTGAACGTGTTTATATAATGGGGTCTTTAGAATACAACTGAAGAATCAATTTGTGATTCAAAATTAAAAATTAATTTAAAATGCTTTTAGTTTTGAGAAAATTGTAAATAAATTCAAATATTTCAGTGTACAACATGCAAATTGTGTTTTGTATATTTTTTTCATATTTCCATTTGGGTAAGAGCAACAAGAGCACTTTTAGAACTTTAAAACAACAAAAGGTTTAGAAGCTGTATAGGCTGAATTACCCATTAAATGGTAATTTAAATATACTGTCTTATGATTTAGCAGTGGGTAAAGATAATGGGTTAGCCCTTAAAAAATAACTTACTTTTCACATTACCAAATAATAAGTAAAGTCGACTACAAAACCGATCGTTGTAAGTTCGATAATAGGTGTAGGCAATCGAAAATTGTCAGTCGGTTCTGCAGTCCATGTCCGTCTACATAAATATTTTTTGACTTGCGAAGGAGTGGGCCAATATTTTCCATTTCCAAATTTGGACTTAAATGATATAATTTGGTAATTTTTTGAAAATGCTGAAATTTGCGTTATATACCAGTATAGTGGGCTGAAGTATTCCAATTCATCTAATGCCGATAAAAATATAGGAATGTAAAAAAATTAAAAAAAGCGAACTCTTATTTCCAATTTTACTCGAATAATGCCCTGAAACGTATTTGGCTCAAAGAGATCTGAAACCGTTGTTTCTTTGGGGCATGTTTTGAACGTATCAAATGATATATACCCTCGTGGCCATATGGTTGAGGGTATAAAAATGTATAAATCTTATAAAGCGTAGAGAGTATCAGATTTCGGTGAAACTTTAAATCAGACATAGGTCTGGTATGAAAATGAACGAGATCTTGCCAATCCTTCTTGTACCTTTCCCATAAAAGGACAGTGCGGAATTCCTCCCGAAGGGAGATAACAAACTTTTGCACATCGTAGTATTATAATTACTTAAGTCTGGTCGTATACTACCCCTTACACAAAGGATCAAAGACTTTCAATTTTAATATTTCTAATGTGAAAATGGGATATATCAATCTACACCTTGTATCAGTCTACTCGATAAACATTTTTTACGTAATAAAAAGTTTTACTCGAAGCTTTTATACCCTCCACCATACATAGTATGGAGGGTATATTAAGTTCGTCATTCCGTTTGTAACTCATCGAAATAATAATTTTAGACCCAACAACGTATATATGTTCTTGATCAGATACTATGTCGATGATACTATGACGATTTAGCCCTGTCCGTATTGTAATCACGCTACAGTCAAAACGAATTAAAATAGGAAGCTAAAATTTTGCACAGATCTGTATTTTGTGTGTAGACAGGTCAAGTTCGAAGATATCGTATAGCCCCCATACAACGAAACCCCCGACATTCGTAATTTTTATGATTTTAGTCACATTTTTCAATGGAATTGTCTGAAAATCCGTACAAGGAGCTCTTTGTGAGTACTTTATCGCCTGTAAGTGAATTATCTATATAGGTCTACGACATCGTATAGCCCCCATATATCGCTACTTCCGATATTCGGTATTTTTATGATTTTAGCCACATTTTTCAATGGAATTGTCTGAAAATCCGCACAAGGAGTTCTTTGTGAGTACTTTATCGCCTATAGAGAATTATCTACATAGGTCTACGACGTCGTATACCCCCATATATCGCCACTTCCGATATTCGGTATCTTTAAGATTTTAACAGAATTTTTAATGGATTTTGTTATACCCTCCACCGTTTGTAACACCTCGAAATATACATTTTAGATCCCACAAAGTATATATATTCTTGATCAGCATAATATTCTATGTCGATTTATCACTGTCCGTCCGTCTGTTCGTCTGTGGACACCACTCTAGCCTTCGAACGAAATGAAGAAGGTTGATAAAATTTTATTTAAATGTATATTATGTCTGCAGGACTCTTGGTATTGAAAATGGGCCATGTAGGTCCACGTCTTTGTATAGTCCCCATATAACGGTACCCCCCGATATTCAGTACTTTGATGATTTTAGCGACATTGCTTACCGGAATTGTTTCAAATTTCGCATTTGAAGTTCGTAATGGATACTACAGCCAATGACAGAAAATTGTTTGTGCAGGTCCACGTCTTCGTATAGCCCTCATAAAACTGAACCCCCGATATTCGGTATTTTGATGATTTTAGCGACATTATTTACCGGAATTATTTCAAATTTTGTATTTGAAGTTCGTAATGGATACTACAGCCTATGCCAAAAAATTGTCTGTGAAGGTACACGTTTTATAGCTCCCATGCTACATCCCTATTTTCGGTATCTTGATGATTTTAGCTACATTATAAACAGATTTTTTTCAAGTTTTACATTTGAATATTGTAATAGCTTGTGACAAAATTTGCCTATGCGGGTCCATGTCGTCGTATCGACCCTAATATACGGTTACATTCGGTATTTTTAAGATTTTAACAGAATTTTTAACGGATTTTATTTTTTTGAAACGGATTGTATTCAAGGTTCGGCCCGGCCGAACTTACAGCTTTTTACTTTTTTTTTTTTTTTTTTTTTTTTTTGAATATTTCCTAATTCGTCCAAATCGTGGAGGGTATTCAAAGTTCGGCCCGGCCAAGCTTACTGTTTTTTCTCGATCGTTCCCAACGCCACTCTTACTCGCCCCTGACGACCGAGGGGCCCCCACAACGCAGGGAGAGCGTATTATGGGGGGGTTAGTAATTTTAGGGAACTTCGGCTACAGTAAATACATCAGCCGGTTAAACAAAGTACATGTAATTCTTTATTTCAAGGCAACCCTCTGAGAGCAAATAAGAAAAATTGTGTTTGGACAGATTCGATTTTATTTGAACAGCATTTATAATAAGGGCTTCAAAATACACAACCAGATTCTAATATAGGCCGAAATAGTTATGGTGTGAGAATTGTTTCTATTAGTGACGTTTACAGTGACCTATCCATGATCACTTCTGAAAAAAAGCAATGTTTTTTCTGAACTAAATAAACTCTGCGGATCAGCTTTTTACTGATTCCATGATAAAAACCAGTAAAGAAAGTCTAAAAGTTTACATTGATCGAAAGCAATGTTTTTTCTGAACTAAATAAACTCTGCGGATCAGCTTTTTACTGATTCCATGATAAAAACCAGTAAAGAAAGTCTAAAAGTTGGGCGGGACCGACTATATGATACCCTACACCCCTCTGCATATTAGTAGAGCTTCATATAACAAATAAAAAATTAAAAATATAACAAATCGGAAGAACAATATATATGGGAGCTATATCTTAACCGATTTTCTATTTGTCATACTTATTTTTGTGCTCAATTTGGTCTTAATTGCCAAATTCAATTTGGACTAATATTACTCGCTAGGTGTACAATATTTAGGTGCCCTATATCGAACAAATGAACGTCCTTGGGTCGAACAAATGACTTGTGCAAAATATAATTTCGATCGGGCAATAAATGCGACATGTACTTTGTTTACAAAAATACATGCACAGACGGACGGACAAGCATAAATCGACTCAGAAGGGATCTATGAGTCTAACTGGCTTCCTGCTCTATGTTAGGAAGAAATGCACAAAACACATAATACCCTGATCACAGTGTGGTGTAGAGTATAAAAATATATTTAGAACAGCTAATTTGTGTGCTTACATTATTTGTTCAGTTTCAATTTAAATATCTCATAAAAATCACTTATATATATCCGATATAAATGGCGTTTCTAATAGTCAGTAAACCTTCACACACTTGCAGTTGTGTGTAATGTCTGAAATTGTTAATTATCAATTTATCAAAATAAATAATATACATTATTATTACATTATACATTAACTTAACTTTAAACTTTGCCAATGCCATAGTATGTCATAGAGCGAACACATAAAACGTTTTGTACGTTCAATTCGAATATCAGGCAACCCATATAATATGCTTCATTTATTTTATTGAATATGATGACATTATGATTTGAAGCTGAGCATACTTTACGGCGCAAGTCGAAAATAAATGCAGTGCGAGCCGAATATGGTCGGCCGAATATTGAATATTGCAGTTCCTCCATTCAAAAATAGATGGCGCTGTATTCGGTTATTTTATTTGATGTATACCAGTATAACGAAATCAATTCCGTGGGATGATTTACCAAAAGGTAATATATGTAAGTTCTATAATATTCAAAAAATACGTACACGTAACGAATTACATTGTGCATAGCTAAGGTTTGCTCATGTTTGATTGCATGTTTTTATACCCTACATCACTATGTGGAGAAGGTAGTACAAAATGAACAAGTCCTTAAAATATAATCATACAAATCAATATTATTGTGCTAGGAAGTTCTTAACAAATCCAAGCGAAATATAATTAAATTAATCCAAATATTTGGTAGGAGGAAATCTGAAACTAGTTCCACATTCCGTTCCACAACATTTTTTACCTTTAAAACCGCATTTGGCAACCCAAAGGAGAAAATTTTGATTTTTTTATGATTTTGGAGAAACTTGAAATATTCATTGTATTACTCCAAACATTATATTACACCAGATGTTAGTGTTTTATCTATTATTTTTATATTGAATGTTATGTTTAATGGTCCTATCGATATTTTTACTCCAAGACATATTTATATTTTCACAAAATACCAAATTAAATCGAAATCTGTTGAAAATTGTTGCCAAATCTTAAAAAATCCCTCAAATCAGTGGTAGGGTTCTATGGGAGCTATACCAAATTTTGAACCCATAATAACATTATTTTGCAAGAACATCGGGTATCCGTCAAGAAAATCAGTTGTCAAATTTCAGTCCATTTCAATTAATAATGTACCTAATATCTTCAAATTTCTTTAAGTCGGAGGGTACCTTTATATGGGTATTATGACTAAACGACCAATCTTCACAATTTTATAATTACATTGTATTTTACTCATTATGAAGCTACTCAAATTGTATAGAAACATTTATATCACGCCTTCCCATACATGTGGGACCATTGTGCAATAGCTTGAACATATTCGTCACATATTCTTAAATGTCCCCGACCTTAGTCACAGATGAAAGATTACAATCATATCGAATCAGCGTTTTTTTGTGAATACTTCGACCATTTAACTCGATTATTACG